CCGCCATTACCCAGTTCCATCCAGTGATGACATCTTGCAAAACTATAGTATAATATCACAGTCAGGATATTAACATTGAGGATTTCCATTACCACTGGGATATCTTTAATAGCCACACCCACTTCCCCTCCCCCCCATTTCCTCCATAACCCCTGGCAACCACTAATCTGTTCTCCATTTCCACCATTTTGTCACTTCAAGAATGTCATGTAAATAGAATTGTACAGTTTATAACCATGAGAAATAACTTGTTTTGCACAGCATAATTCACTGGAGAGTCATCCAGGTTTGTGTAGCAGTAGTTCCTGGTATGGATGTACCATGGTTTGTTGAATGGTTCCCCTGTGGAAGGACAGCCGGCATTCCCGGTGTTGAGTTGTGACAAGTAAAGCTGCTGTAAGCATTCATGTACAGATTTTTATATGACGATAAGTTTCCCTCTCTCTGGGATAAATGCCCAAGAGTGTAATCGCTGAGCCACATGTAGTTGTAGGTTTAGCTTTTGAAGAAACTGCCAGACTGTTTTCCACAGGGGCTGTACCAGTTTTGTGTTCTCAGTGTGGGAGTGATCCAGTTACTCTGTGTACATCTGTTTTGAGGTTCTCAACTCTGGGCCTCTGAAATCCTACCCAGTCTTGAAACCTGTTGCTATATAGTAATTCCTGAAATTGGGTGTATTAATTCTTCCCACCATATTCTTTTTCAAAATATTCTTAGCTCTTCTAGTCCCTTTGCCCTTTCTACATTTTAGAATAATCTTGTATGTATTTACAGAAAAATCTTGCTGGTATTTGATAGAAATTACATTAAATTCATCTAGCAATTTGAATAGAATTGACATCTTAACTATGTTGAGTCTTCCAATTCATGAACAATATATATCTTTCCATTTATATGATCTTCAGTTTCTTTCATTAGCATTTCATAGCTCTCAGCATGCAAGTCCCATACATGTCTTCCTAGGTTGACACCTAAGTATTTTTCATTTTTATTTTTTCTGACCAATTATAAATGATGTCTTATTTTATTTCAGTGTCTTAATTTAAGCTCATCACTAGTATATAGAAATTGATTTTCATGAATTTATCTTGTATCTCATGTACTCTCTGAACTCTCTTAGTTCTAGGATTTTCGAGGGGTTGATTCCTTGGGATTTTCTATATAGACAATCACAGCATCTGCAAACAGAGATAGTTCTATTTCTTCCTCTCTGATCTATATGCTTTTTACTTCCTTTTTTTTTTCCTCTTTATTGCTCTGCCTAGAATTTCTAGCACTATGTTGAAAAGAATGGTGAAAGCAGGAATCCTTGCCTTGTTCCCAGTCTTAGGGGGAAAGCATCCAGTCTTTCATCATTAAGTGCAATATTAGCTATTGGTTCTTTATCAAGTACCCCTCTGTCCTTTTTTTTTTTTTTTTAGAGTTTTTATCATGAATGTTGTTGAGTTTGATCCTTTTTTTTCATCCATTTATATGATCATGTGACTTTTTTCTTCACAAACCTGTTAATCTTGTAGACTACAATGTTTAAATTTTAGATATTGAACCAGACTTGCATTGACAGAACAAACCCACTTGCCATGGCATATAATTCTTTTAACATATTGATCTATTGCTCTATTCTATTTGTTAAGATTTTGTTAAGGATTTTTTTTCCCATTTCTTTTGACTTGATTGTTAAGGATTTTTGCATCTTTATTCATGAAGGACATTTGTCTTTGTTTTGTTTTTTGTTTTTTTTTTTTGTGGTACTGTCTTTATCTGGTTTTGGTAACATAAAAGCTTTATAAAATGAATTAAGAAGTGTTCCTTCCTGTTTTGTTTTCTTTCTTTCTTTCTTTTTTTTGAAGATTTCATTTATTTATTCATGAAAGACACAGAGAGAGAGAGAGGCAGAGACACAGGCAGAGGGAGAAGCAGACTCCATGTAGGGAGCCTGACGTGGGACTCTATCCTGGGACTCCCAGGATCATGCCCTGGGCCAAAGGCAGGTGCTTAACCACTGAGCCACACAGGCATCCCCTGTTTTGTTTTCTTGAAGACAGAATTGGTGTTACTTTTTTAAAAGCCTGATAGAAATCTTCAGGGAGACCATGTAGGCCTGAAGATTTCTTTTCGGGGAACTTTTAAATTATGAAGCAGGGGATCCCTGGGTGGCTCAGCGGTTTAGTGCCTGTCTTTGGCGATCCTGGAGTCCTGGCATCGAGTCCCCCGTCGGGCTCCCAGCATGGAGCCTGCTTCTCCCTCTGCCTGTGTCTCTGTCTCTCTCTCTCTCTCTCTCTCTCTATGTCTATCATGAATAAATAAATAAATCTTTAAAAAATAAAATAAATTATGAAGCAATTTCCCTCATAGTCATAATTCTAAGGTTACTTGAATAGTCTTATATCACAGTTTCATATTGACAGGCTTGTGATGATTTGTGGGTTTTTTTAAGATTTTATTTATTTAACAGAGAGAGAGCTCAAGCAAGGGGAGCAGCAGGCAGAGGGAGGAGAAGCAGGCCCCCCAGTGAGCAAGGAGCCCAATACAAAGCTCAGTCCCAGGACCCCAGAATCATAACCTGAACTGAACGCAGACACTTAGCCAATTGAACCACCCAGGCACCCCATGATTTGTGTTTTTATCTAAGTTGTCAAACCTATATGTGTAGAGTTATTCATGATAATCCCTTATCTTTTTTTATCTGTAGGATCTGTAGTAATATCTTCTGTTTCATTCCCAACATTGGTAATTTCTGTCTTCTACCTTTTTCTTTGTTGGTCTTGCTTGAGACTTGGCATTTTTATTAATCTTTTCAAAGAATCAGCTTTTTGTTTGACTAATTTTCTCTACTGTTTTCTACTTTCCTTTTCATTGATATCTGCTCTTTATTATTTCCTTCCTTTTGCTTGCTTTCGGTTTGTCTAGTCTTCTTTTGTGTTCTGGAGACTTTCTTTTTTTTTTTTTTTTTTTTTTTCATTTGTTTCAAGAATGTGCATGGCTCATGGAAGCCTTTTTGTGATGACTGCTTTAGAAATCAATGGCAGATAATTCTAGCAACTCTGTTATCTTGATATTGGCATCTACTGATTGTCTCTTTTTATTCAGTTTGAGAGCTCCCTGACTCCTGGTATGATGAGTGATTTTTTTAAAAGATTTTATTTATTGGGACGCCTGGGTGGCTCAGTGGTTGAACATCTGGCTTTGGCTCAGGGTGTGATCCTGGAGTCCTGGGATTGAGTCCCACATTGGGCTCCTTACATGGAGCCTGCTTTTCTCTCTACCTATGTCTCTGCCTCTGTGTGTGTGTGTCTCTCATGAATTAAAAATAAAAATAAAAAATAAAAAAAAATTTAATCTTAAAAAAAAAAGATTTTGTTTATTTGACACAGAGAGAGAGCATACAAGTAGGCAGAGCAGCAAACAGAGGGAGAGGGAGAAGCGGGTTCCTTGCTGAGTAGAGAGCCCAACGCGGGCTCCATTTCAGGACCCTGGGATCACAACCTGAGCCAAAGGCAGACGCTTAACCGACTGAGCCACCCAGGTGCCCCTGATGAGTGATTTTTTTTTATTTAAACCAAGATATTTTGAGTATTATAAGACTTTTGATCTAATTTAAACCTGTTTTAGCCAGCTGCTCCTGACCCTGCTCTGGCTGAGGGAGCAGGGGCTCCTCCTTATTACTGCCAGGTGTGAATAAAAGTTCAGGATTTACACTCAGCCTCTGTTGACACCTACTGGTGGGGGTTGAGGAGGAGGAGACTCCTTGTTACTGCAGGGCTGGGATGGGAATTCCCCAGATACCTTCTAGGCCTCCACTAGTATCTCCCTAACCAGAACAGGTAGGAGCACCTCGTTAGTGTTGCCCACATTGCCTCCCCTGATGCCACAGGGACATGGTGGGTAGTGGTGAAGCCCTTGATTCTCTCTCTACCAGGCTCCTCTGACACCCTCAGATCATGGAGGGGGGATATCTTATTACTGCCAAGTGGAGGCTAGGCTCTCCACATGGTCTCCACTCTCACCTGGGGATGAGGACCTCATTACTTCCCAGCAGGGATGAAGCTCCCCCTCTCTACTTGCTCTTTTCTCATGCACCCCAGCTGGGGATGTAGGGGTGCCTGATGATACCTAATGAGTAGAAGTCTGGCCCCCTCCCTGAGGCCCTTGCTGGTGTGGTTGGGACAGGGCCATGATATTTTCTGTAGTGTTTGGTTATTTTCTAAAACTTCTGTCATGCTAGGCTATCCCTTTCCTGGTCCTTTGGCTAGAGGCTTTGGGGGGGATTTTTTGCCTTCACCATTCACATTGCCAGGTTGCTGGCTTCTTCTGCTCCAAGTGTGGAATCTATAAGAACAAAGGAAACCCAGGGAACTCAGCACCTTTCATTCCTTGCATCTTCAGAGACCTAGCCAGTCTGCCTCCTTCTCTCCATCTTTCAGGGTCTCTTATGTTTATTTTATACATAACATCCAGTGTTTGGGTTGTATTTAGTGGGAGGAATAGTGAAAATTATATCTACTCCATCTTCCCAAAAGCAAAACAGCTCTTCTCTTTTTGAGGAGTCTCCTTAACTTACTGGCTGTAAACTACTAGAGAGAACAAGTTTTGTGTGCCCTGGAAGGCATATGTGCATATGAAGATGCTTAATAGTTGTTGGTAGACTGACTTGGCTGTTCACATGGCACCTGGAACTCACAGAGGGAAATTCAGAGAACTGACTAAGAGAGACTGCTGGGTGTCCTGTTGAACCTCTTCACTCTGTGGCCGTGGAAATGCTCCCTAGGTGCCCAGCTTCCAAAAGAGGAGGCTGGCATCTTCCCTTCCATCTTCATGCAGAGGTTATAAGCAGAGGACAGACTGCCCCCAAAGCCCTTTGACATGAAAACCCACCAGTTGTCAGGGTTGGGCACAGACCTTGTCATTATATGGTAGGTGCCCACTTAGGGAACAGCAGCCTCTTTGAGAATGCATGGCTGGGGGTTCACAGCACTCATCCCATGTGTCCTTTGAAACAGGAGGACCATGACACTATGGAAGCTGATCTGGACAAAGATGAGCTGATCCAGCCCCAGCTTGGAGAGCTCTCAGGCGAGAAGCTTCTGACCACGGAGTACTTGGGAGTAAGTACCACATGAGGGTGCGGGGAAAAGGGGAAAGGAGAGATGGGCCATTGATGCATTGAGCCTTTGCAGTAACACATAATGGTTTGGTTTGGTCTGCTACAATACCGTGTTTGTGAGAAGCTCTTTGCTGGCCTGTTTGCCTGCAATGGCCCTGAAGTGCACTGTGGTCCCAGCTACCTGCCCCAGGGCTGTGGGTGAACAGGAAAAGATTAGAATATAACCAAAGGGCACATGCCAGGAACCTTCCTAATGTCTAACGTTGTGTCCATCTTTAGTAGTAATCATCTACATGCACAGCTTCTGAATTTTTGTGCATCCTTATCTAGTAGAGGGGAAAAGGGCAGTCACTAGCACACAGGTGATGGCTGAAACCATCAAAGCAGGTGTGATTGCTCACTGAAGTGGAGGGCCGGGGGGAGAGGGTGAGGGGCTGAGGCCAGAGGGGAAGACCAGATGTGTCAGGACGGGAAGCAAGAAGAGGAGCCTCTGAGAAAGGCAGAAAAGTGGACAATCAGGATTGCAGAGAACCAGGAGAATGTAGCATGCTGACGAACTGAAGGGAAGAGTGGTTCAGAATGGACTGAGTGGTCAGTCCAAGCATCCAAGAGGCCTGTGGAGTCACACGTCCTAGATCAGGCCATAATCTAAGCCCTAAAAACTCCCTGCTGACTCTGATGCCCGGCCAGCTCTGGGCGCCCATGCTTAGCTCCTCTAGCTAAACAGGGAAGGGTATTAGCCAGGAGGGAGCTGCCGATTGGCCAGGAGAGGGTGGCAGTGCCACGGACCCACAGGTTTCTCATGAAACCATGAGCAGAAGGCACGTCAGTGGACAGGTGGAGTGGTGGAATGTGAGGTTTCCAAAGGGAGGAGCAACTGCAAGGGTTTGGGAGCCAGTGGGGACTGGAGCTCCAAGACGGACAGCAGAGTGCACAGCAGCAATGGCCATGGCATCAAGAGGAGCTCCTGGAATTTTGAAGCTGGTGGTTGACTGAGTCGGTCACACAGAGTCTGACCTCTCCTCGAATGAGTCAGGTTATTGTTGGAGCAGAAAGCCGGGAGCCAGTCTCTCAACAGTCGGCCAGCAGGGACAGTGACTTCAGAAGGAGAAGGATGTGGATGCAGGTGACATGAGCCTTGTAGGAGTGGCTAGAAGCAGAAAGTGCCTTTCCAGCGCCACCCCCATCCCGGCCCTTCTCATCTCATCCTGGGTACTGGTCTCCCCAGTCACCTGCCCTGGTCATCCTCACTTTTTGAGGAATTTCCAGGGCCCCAGGCCAGAGTATAGAATCTGCTGGTGGAACTTGAGGTTAGAGGCAGCCAGCTGTGGGAGCTTCCTAGGCAAGGGTTTGGGATTTTATCCTACATGAGCTGGGAGCATCTTGGAGTTGGGGAGTGACTCCGTTTGACTTGTTTTAATTTATTATTTTTAAAAGATTTTATTTATTTATTCATGAGAGACACAGAGAGAGAGGCAGAGACACAGGCAGTGAGAGAAGCAGGCCTGACCTGGGACTCGATCCCCAGATCGGGGTCATGCCCTGAGCCAAAGGCAGATGCTCAACCACTGAGCCACCCGGGCATCCCTTGACTTGTTTTAATATACGACCTTCTATTTTCACTCTGGCTGCATAATGGAGAATAGACTGTAAGGAGGAAAAGTGACAGAAGGCAGATGACCCAAGGAGGCTGGGCCAGGGTGCCACCTTTACACCCTCCCCCCCCCTTGCATCTGGCCACCATCAAGGCCAATAACCTGCCACGGTCCTTAGAATGTCTCAAGGATCAAAGGAGTCTGACTGTGGAGGCTCTGTTTATATTAGGTCAAGTAAGGTTGGAAGTGAGGGAGCCAGGTTCCAAGTTGTTGATGGGAATCTGGAGCCCTGACGAGGCTCTGTTTCCCTTTGGAAGAGTGCTGGCTTTGTCAGGGAAGGACAGGGCTCCATTTGATAGGCTGTGCATTGTTTAAAAGCAAGACTCTCCTGCTTCAGGGGTAGGAGATGAGGAGGACAGAAGAGGCAGTCGGTGGGGCTACTTTGGAGGATGGAAGCACCAGCCATCGGGCACACAGCCCACAGACACAACCATGCAGGCACGTGAGGGTCAGCAAGGATATCACGCAGCTTAGTGAATAAGAAACCTAAATGCAGCCCCCAGCTGAATGACTTGCGGTACCACGACACAGTCCAATGGTGTGGGTGAGATCTTATGTTGATAGTGGTGAAGATTTCTAACAACACCAAAAAAAAGTCCCAGATGCAGAACATCTGGGACTCCCAGCTTCCTCATGCAGCTTCACTGAGGCACAAAATGGCAGAGCTTGCAGATCGACGGGTCGCCCAGTGTCATGGCATCTGGAAATGGTGTCATTTTCTCATAGCATGCAGTTCTAAATCTCCTGAATGTGTATGTACTATCCTAGGATGTACATACTATCCTACGTACTAGGAGAGATTTTGAATCCAACAGGAAAGTTCCTGCACGTTTGCTTGTGTCGTTGGTGGAGACATGAGTAATACAAATGACATCCAGAAAGAATTCATTATATAAATGTGAAGACCAACCAAGCGTATTAGCTTCCTAGGGCCAGAGTAATAAATGAGCATAAACCAAATGGCTTAAAACACCAGAAATTAATTCTCTCACAGTTCTGGAGGCCAGAGGTCCAACATCAAGATGTCCACACAGCCACGTCCCCTCCAAAGGCCCTGCAGGGGAAGCTTTCATGCTCCCCAGCTTCTGATGGTTCCATGTGTTCCTCAGCTTGTGGCTGCGTCCCTCCTGAACTCTGCCTCCATCTCCATGGGGTCTTCTCCCCCTTTTCTTTCTTTCGTCTCATATAAGGACACTTATCATTGGATCTAAGATAATCTAGAATGATCTTTCATCTCAGGATCCATAACTTAGTCACATTTGCAAAGACTGCTTTTCCAAATGTCACATTCACAGGTTCTTGGGGTTAGAACATGGACATGTCTATCTGGGGCCACTGCCCCTCAGCCCACTGCCCCTCAGCCCACTGCAACAGGTCACTGTAGGATCTCATAATAGAAAGGATTTTACAGTCTCACTAGAAAACGGTATGTGGAGCAGTAGTCACTGAGGTGGTGTGCACACTCCCAGCATTCCTGTCTTTGTCCGTCACCCATGCTAAAGCTGCCCTCCATCCCCTGGTCTTGATTTGAAGTTGACAGCCAGCCAGCCTCTGTGTCAGGGTCATTGACTTCAACAAGGAGTCTTACTTGCTGTGCTTTGGCTCCAGTGCGAGTAGGGGCTTTCAGTTCACATTGTCGCAACAGTTTATGGCAGACGAGGGAACCTGCTACAGGTAGAAGATTTTTCTCACTGGGGAGTATGTGCCCAAAAGTAAGGATTCCTACATCCTATTCTGACATCCTACATAGGTTGTAGGTTTTTCAAAATCTCTTGAAGATACTGACTTTTTGTAACATTGGATTAGATCATACAAAATGCTTTTCTTGAACTTGGGGCATTTGCCTAACACATAGCAGAATGCCAAAAAGTTTAAGACCTAGCTGTCACCTTCGAGAAGTTTACAAAAGAAGACACAGAGCAGACAAAAGTGTGTCATTGGTGAGGGCTGCAGATAACAGCGAGGGGTGGTGAGTGGGTTGGCAGAGACTGTCCTGCACATCCTGCAAACAGAGCTGCTCAGGGTCTCTCAAAGCCCTAGAACATGGAATGTGGCTTAAAGACAGAATCTGGGACCCACGCCAGACCTCCTTACCATAATCCCAGGAATCGGTTCTTTTTTTTTTTTTTTTTTTTTTTTTTTTTTTTTAAGGAATCGGTTCTTGTACACACCAATGATCTGGAAACTACTGGCTTGGGGTGAGGGTGGAGGTACAGTAGGGGCAGCCCACCAAGGTGTTCGGGGATGGAAGGAAGCCATTACCAGGATTCCTGGACACATAGGACACCCCCCCACAAGCTCGCCTCCAGCTGGGCATTTGTAGCCACACCTACACGAGGCCCCCTTGCTGGTCCTCTTCCTCCCAACTGCAAGCATACAGACCCTGTGCACTGCAGAGCCCTGGCCACAAGAAATGCTGCAGACCACAGAGAACTCAGAAAGCTGGTGACAAGAGAACAAGTCACTTTTCCTAGCTTGCATGAGAGTGGCAGTGGTCACATGAAATGTGTTGCTTACTCGTAATTCTGGTGGAAAGCAGCATGCTTCGTTTCTTCCTTAGGCTGTGACCGTCAGCAGGTCAAGACGGATGATTTGCCAACTTCTCCTTGCTTGGTTATTTCTGAATTTGTGTCATCCGTACTATGCTGAATAATCACTTAATTCTTCCTAAAAAAAAAAATGCCCAGATCTAAATAGCTTTGTCACCTTGGTTAAAGGGGTATAGATATTTACCATAGGATCTCAGTTTTTTGTTTTTATTTCACAGTTTAAGTGTATCATTAGTTACCCTCAACAACAGCAAGAGGCACGTCTTAAATGAGTTCAGCACATGTCACGGGCCAAGCTTTGTGCTGAGGGCTTCACACACCTGACTCCAGTAAATTTGGTCCTCCCAACAAGCTATGGGGGAAATTCTGAGTATAGCATTTTCTAGACAGGAGAGCTGAGACTAAGGAAGGTAAGGAATATTCTCAAGTGTATTTGAGCCTGCTTGCCTTTGTTCTTTCCCACTAAGCTGTGCCACCTTCTGGAAAAGCTGTCAATTTTCCAGTGAATTGCATGCTGTATTTGCAAATTGAGAGAAGTCCCACTGAGTGGCATATTCACAATTTCCATATGGTCTGTGTTAAGCACAGACTCCGTTTGGGGGGCAGGGGGGAGGCTGATTGTAAAAACTAATTACTCACTTTCCACACTTTATTCCCCCTGTCCGACAAAGACCCAAATTCACTCAGTTTTCCGGAGATCGCCTGAAGGACTGGTCAGCCCTGCCTCCAGAGAATGTGTGTATGGAGGTGCAAGGGGGGATCTGCATCTTTATTACACACACACACACACACACACA